GACAAGCGGTCCTTGTCCTGAGTTCTCTGTCATAATAGCCATGATAAATTCGTACATGACGTTTCGCTAGCATCGACGAGTTATAGTTTTGTGTTAAAAATATATGAGATGTGATCCCCTTTATTCCATTTAGGTGATTAGGGTCTGATAAGTGAATCATCAAACTTACTGTCACGAGTGCCGTTGGGTCACCGGACAGATTTGAATCTCAAGAAAGGCCAAGCATTTTTCCATATTATATTCTGCGGTGGTAGTGTCGATAGCGCAAAATTGTATTTGCTACAATTTGCAGCCGACTACATTACTTATTTTCAGTCTATATGTATGTTTTCGAGACTCCTAGTAGATAATAAACATGAGGTGTATTCGCCCTATCTCGTTTAAGGGGATGAAGGACTGGTATAGAAGAAGAAAATAAGAGCGCAAGGTGAGGATTCTGAGCTGTAAAAACAAAGGCGATAACTAAGTGTTGATACTAACATACCTTTCATTTCGCTTGAGAAGGCTGGTGAAAGGGATTCGTAGATTGGCCGCACCGGATACCAAAGGAGGTTTGCCTTAGACTTTTGTCTGCTGAATTGTGCAAAGAAGACCTCGGCTCACTGTCTTACGATCCCGATGGCTCTTTGCTGAGCATTCGTCCGTCATGTGACGGACATCCTCAGAGCCATAAACCATTATTAACGAACAATCACCAGAAACACTAAACCAAGAAAGTTGGCTGGCTGAGATCATACTTACTTCTTATATCTCACTTTGCGATCTTTATGAGACATTCCACAATTTAGTTGGCTGTTTTATGCTTGGCTTAGAGTTGTTGGTGAATAATGGTTTCTGGCTCTGACGATGTCCTTCACATGACGGACGGAAGTTCAGCACGGAGTCATCGGGATCGTATGATAGTGAGCCGAGGTCATCTTCGCACAATTAAACAGACAAGAGTCCAAGGCAACCCTCCTGCTGTATCAAGTGAAACCAATCTACGAATCCTTTCGACCCGCCTTCTCAAAAGATGTGCCAGTTTCAATCAATTCAGAGATTCTTCGAAACCCAGATTCTCTTCATATGCCTATTTTATGTTATTGCTATCTCATCCCATCATGTATTCCCTTTGTATCACTAAAAATATAAATTATTTGAATTCCTTTTTCTCTCTACACATTCAGTTTACTCGTCTCGACGTGCCTGGCGAGGCCGGTCTTCATAGTGTGCTCAATTGCGCTGCCTCTGAACTCCAGCGCCTTCGTGAGGCCGGTTCTTCGACTGTCAACCTCTCATCTCCCGGCGTCCTGAGCATTTCGTCTCCAGTGACCTCTACCAACGCCTCCGAGGCGTCAACCGGCCACCAAACGCAGCCGCATATAGGCGGCCAAAGCCAGCACTGTCTGGCAAGCGGTAAACAGTACAGCCGGGACGACCGGCTTGTCGGTCCGGGACCGACTAGCCATGCGGTGTCGTCTGCCTCGCGGGGGCATCCTCTGTCTGGCCCCTGCAAAAGTATCTCCGCTTCTGCACACTCACTTGCGCCAACAGCAGCCTCCAGGACTTCTACAGCCTCATCGACTGTTCCCTTAGACCAGCTCGTCAATGCCGCCGGTACCAGGCATAACGGATTTGGTCCGAGTCTGAGTTCAGGCTTGCCTCGGGGACACACTCTGGCCAGTCCGGAGTCGAGTGCCTGCCTTAATCGCGTCCGTCTGGAGGCCTGTGACGTAAGGTCGACCGGCTCTCTGTTGGACAGCTTTGCTTTGGCATCGGACACTTCGAGTTGTGTTAAGCCGATCACTCTCGGCTTGGATCTCATCGCCTACAAGCTGACTCAGCTGCAAAGAGACTCGGAGGCCATCACTAAAAAGGTGAATTTATTAACTTACAAGTTTTTGTTCTGGTCAATATTGACCATGAAATAGACTCCAATTTGTGGTCCGTTACCAAGGCTGCTCTGAACAATCCTCGAGCCTGCTCTCTGGGAAACTAAAAGTTGAATTTCTGTCCAGGTGGTGTCTTTTAGAGAAAGTAGTAGTGCATTTCCGAAAAAGCATCATACATGCCTTTAAGTCCATGATATAGCAAATTTAATGACTACTGTAGCCATGCACGTTTTGATACACCTAATTAGTTAAATAGGGTCTTTACATTTATATTCTGTGTTAGTATTTCCCGAGACTATCAATTATTCTCGAATACGAATTTAAGTCACTCTG